TCTTGTCCTTGGTGCCAGCACGGGCGCCACTCCAGATGATCACGTACCCGTCGTGTGCAATTGAACCTTGCCCCTCTCGTCGGGTCTCCTGAAGTCCTATCCATCACAGCCCGTCGCGGAACAAATCTGCATGACCGTCATCACGTTGTGACCGATGGGGTTCCTACCGCTGTAGGCGAGCGTGCTAACGTTAATCGTGCCGAACGATAGGTCGCCCTCTGGTGCCTTTTTCTTCGCAGCCGCCTTGACGGCCGCTGCGGTCTCGTGTCTCTCTCGGTCCACCTCGCGTTGCGGGTGTGCTTTCTTCCGTATTTTCCGAGCGGCGAAATTCCTCGCATCAATCCATCTCTGCAGAGCTCGGTTCTTGCCTGTGGTGCTTTGACGAGGAGGGTGCAGCACTCCCTCCCCGCGGTGCCCGCGGTTGTCTCCCTTCTCCCGCGAGCGGTGCTTACTGACGTGGTGTTTACGAATCTCTCTACTCCTCCAGCTTCGTGGGCCACGCTTTCCGCGACGGTGGTTGCCAGGTGCAGTTTGCCGCTTTGCATTACTGCCGCGGGAACAGTGTCCATACACACCTCTCGCCACTACCACCGTTTGTGCATCCTCACCGCCACGCAGAGCCAGCGCGGGGGTGAGTTGCACCTTGGGACACCACCCGCCTACTATCTGTTGTGGCCTGGTTCGCCCGCGAGGGACTCGTGTGTGCTGGTCCTGCTCTCCCCTCCACCCTCTGTAGTGACGGCGAATTTTCTAGGCACATACAGTACCGGCACGAAACAGGGACCTCTGCTGTGTTGTGTTAGAAGTCGAAGGTAAGCACTGCCGGTGGGGTGGGTAGGGAGAGGAACTCTTCTGTGCGACTGACTGTGGGTTGGAGATAGCTCGTGCCCGACAGAGATGTCGTGAGCTGTGAGTGCTGATGCAATGTGATGAAAAAAACGGACCCCATTATCCAGCCTGTCTTCTTCCCACTCACTGCAAAACTTAAAACCCATCCCCTTTGACTGCTGTGGCAGTATTATGTCGAATGTGGAAGTTGGTTTTTCTTTGATGGTACAAGGCATATTTTCTAAAATACGAAGATGAAAACGAAACGGGGACACGCGCATAGGAACCAGGTGGTCAATGGAGGGTCGCGATTCAGGCCATGCGGTTTTTCTGTATTTTCGTTTCGGGTATTTATTCGGTGTGTTGGTAATTGAAACCTCTTCGATAACTCTGGAGAAAACAACGCATAGGCTTTATTCACATTGTCTTTTCCGTGAAATTGCAGGAAATTCATTGCTCTTTCGGCGCGGCACAGGCCGACATTGTTTCTTCACTTGGAACTAGACTGGCGGGTCTCCTGTCTCGGCGCACCACAGGCCAGCATTTCCAGGTCCGCCATCTCGTTCTTTGCTCTCCCTGTCACTTCAAGTGCAATCGACCGAGGCCTGTTGCCGCTGTCTTCAGTCCCTCTGTACCCAGTGCTTTCGGGTGGTGCACTCCCAGTCAGTGCTTCAATCAGTTAGGGCTCCCGTTTGGCGCAGCATTCTGCACCTCGCACGCTCACTCCCTCGTGTTTGGACTCATCGACCAGCAGTCATCCTCGCAATCAACCATCATCGGTGCTGTCATCCACGTCATCACCCACGCGTTTCCGCGAGCAGATATCCCTCTCTTTCCGTGTCCCTCTCTTTCTCTTTCTCTCTCACGCTCTCTCTCTACTCTCTTCTTCTCTTATTATCTCTCACATATATTCATACAGCAGTAGTCACCTGCTCCGTAGTCCAACAACTCAGTCGCTCGGTGACAATCCCCTCGTTTCAATCAGTAATTTGGAATGTTCTGCAGTCATCCAATATAGCTCAGTCACAGTGAAATCCATGTGTATGTACGCACCCACGGGATTCATGTGTACGCACACACAACATCAACAACAAACAACACAGTGGAATCCACACAGCAAACCCATGTGCACCACGCGCTGCAATCAATGTGTACGCACATACAACAGGATTTGAGTCTTAGATGTGTCTGCAGTTATCCGCTGCGCGGGCCAGATATAGCTCAGTAGATCCATGTATTCGCGCACACAGGAGGGCACGGAGAAGCGGAGTTTATTCGATCCTGAGTCGTCGTCAGGTCGTCGCCTGTGCAATCGCAAGATATCAACCCCAAGATATGAAAACCATGGGTGACGCTGGTTCTCGACGCCGCCCGCACACGTTCGGTTGCACGCACGCACACGCTCCTCACTCCTCAAGCTCTCCCACATCACACTCTTACCCAGCCTTTATTGAGTATCTCTCCTGCTCTTCTCTTTCGCAGATGTCGGAAAGGCGCAACAAACATCTTTCAGACGGTTGCATTTCCTGGCAGTAGCGCCAAGCGCAAAATTTCCGACTACGTGTGTATTTGGCGAAGTCCCCGGGAAGTAGTGTGTAAACAAACTCCGATTGTGACGGGGCCGACTTGACCCGTTGCTGCGCGACTTTCGGCGGTTGAGCGAATTACGCCAAGAACAGCTGTACGATTTCCGTGCTAGCACTGGAATCTCCCTGCACTACCTACCTAGTGGACATCACTCCCGGGATCCCCTGCCACGGCGTCTCCAACCCTGCTGCGCCCAATTCGGGGTATACCCATTTTGACTGTTGTTGTGTAGCCAACCGTCGTTCCGTTATTTTTGACGATTTGTTGCTCGGGGTGTCCCTGGCGTAGCCCGTCAGTCAGATTGATTGTCGTTCGCTTCGACGTGCTTTTTCGTTTGTTTTAGCCATGGTTCACGTTAGGAACTCATCTCACCAACATGGAGAAAAGCACATTACACGCAAACATCACGTGACAAATTTCTCTCGGGTTCTATGAAAAAAACTGCGACATTGCATGCATTCAGCCGGTCATGCCAAAACACATGATGAACGAGCGAACTTCGCCGGGAAAAGCACATGACACAAACATCATTTCCTCGATGCCCACGTCTTATCAGTCGTGTCTCTAGCACAAAAACGTGTCTTCAGACAAAAACAAGTATCATCTTGGACGCTTCTCTAAAGCGTGGCGGCGGAAGCCGCCGAAACCCTTGTATACTGTATATATCATGTACCTGACCACGAGAGAGGAAAAAGGATGCCAGTCTACATGAGCAGCAGTCCTAAACTAAACGAATGCAATGCCGGACCAATCGCAACTTCAATCTGATGTAGGTGGGCTACGCATGTCGTTGACCCATCTTTCTTTGTTGTCCAATCTCGAAGAGGCACCTCGGGTAGTCTGACTTTGCTCGACAGGTACCCCTGATTCAACGTTCAGCGCCGAATGTTTCAACAACAGCAACAACAAAAACAAAAACACCACCACCACCAACAACAACAACAACAACAACAACAAAAACAAAAACATCAACAGATCATACAGCATTGGCTACGTTACCCACAGGGGTGTGGTGGGGAGGGGTGTACTCATAGTCGTGCATGCCGTAGTCGTTAGACCATTGACCTCGCATCCCTACAAAGCCGGGACGGAGCACGCCGGGTTCTTGCCGGACCAGGCTTTCACATCACCAAGCGCGAAGCGCCGTGAGGTATTCGGCGAGTCGCATGAAGGGTGCGCTACATCCTGCTAAGGGTGTTCGGCATCTTGTGCTTACTTCCTTGCGTACGGATGACAGCTGCGTATGACTTAATTTATTTTCTGGTGCTTTCACTTCCAGAGACAGTTGTAAGCACTGTGTAACTGCCTCGAGGGTGCTTGACCATTTTAACACAACGTGGTGCGATCATCCCCCTTGCGCGGAGCGAGGGTTCTCCACCCCGCACAACATGATCTACTCGACCACCATTATGGTTACCGCCAAAAAAAAAAACGGAGGTAAAAAAAAAAAAGGGAAACCTGGTTGCCGAGTTCACGAAGTGAATTGGCTTGTTTTACAACGTCGTTGCCAAGCGACGAAAACCCAACCCCGATGGCAAACACCGGGGGGGGCGGCTTGTTTTACAACGTCGTTGCCAAGCGACGAAAACCCAACCCCGATGGCAAACACCGGGAGGGGCGGCTTCTTTTGTGTCCACCACACAGGGGTGTGGTGGATGGGGAAATAGTAACATCAGCGGTAGCCTCGGCCAGACTCTGAAGCCCGCCTTGTCTTTCTTCGGAAACGAGACCAAACCGCTAGATTGCAGTCAACGCTGACTAGGCTAACTAGTCTTTCTAGTCTAACGGGATGAGTCACAAGCAATACCTGCAGCTCCTCGTCCGTCATGTTCTCCCCTAGCTCCTTCGCCACCCTCTTGAGGTTGCGGAACGAGATCTTGCCGGTCTCGTCGTCGTCGAACAGCCGAAACGCCTTCAGGATCTCTTCCCTCGAATCTTTCTCGCTCTGAAACGGCAGCAACGAACAAAAGGAAGTGCTTTCGCTCAAGCAATGAATTCATTTCAAATTTGTCCTAGACCCTGATCTATGGATATAGATAGATTTGTTGTGTGATGCAAGTAAGAATAAGAGAAAAAAAAACAAACGCTCACATTCAGGCAGGTGGGGTATGACAAAAACAAGAGGAGCGCTTGCCATTCAAAATTTTCGGCCGAGGAATAAGACTCGAACGAGGAGCTTCAGGATCCCTTTGGCGTTACGTCCCACGTCCGAACCGACCACTCACCATCTTCGACATCGTCAAGATCTTTTGGAAAAGTTATTTGGCGTTACGTCGCACGTCCGGACCGATCACTTACCATCTTCGACATCATCAACATCTCTCGGAAAAATTATTTGGCATTACGTCCCACCTCCGGACCGACTACTCACCATCTTCGATGTCATCATCTCTAAGAACTCCTGGAAATCGATCGTGCCGGAGCCGTCCTTGTCGATGTCGCTGATCATTTTCTTGATCTCTTCCTTCTTGGGCTCGAAGCCTAGCGCTCGCATTGCCACCTTCAGCTCTTTCGCATCGATGGTCCCTGTGAATGTGTGTATGTTTTATTATTAGCATCGACCGCGCTAACCTGCTGACCAATGAAAAGACGTCAGTTTCGTGCGGTTGAAAACACAAAAAACTTCTAAATTCCATGAGGGAGCGGCATGGTAGAGGCCAAGCTATTCTATGTGTTTGTGTGTGTGTGTGTTTCCCATCGTATTGCACGTGGACGAGAGTGGTCGGTCGATGGTGTCAACGTCGAAAGCACGATGTAGTGGCAAGTTCTTGTACACCGTCCTTATTTTTTTCACAAATTGAATACCTCCTCAACCCATTTCATGTGTAACTGCTGCTAAGCTCTTGTTCTGCCCAAACACATTTTAACCGCCGGCTGCGTAACGCTAGGAGAGGTTTCACGGCGGATGGTGTGCTTGCTGGGACAACAGGAGCCAGGGCGTGAATGGTGGTACGCATAAATGAATCAAATACAGTATGTGTCGCGATATAGTGCCGGTTGAATAGTGCCAAAGTCCGGTATAGTGCCGGTAAATTTTCTTGACACAGACACAGGCCTCAATAGTGCCAAACCGGCACTATTGAGGGCTGCCCGCTTTAGTGCCGGTTCAGGCACTATCGAACCCCCTCAATAGTGCCGGTTCACACCCCACACACAACCTTTTTTCGCCTCAAGCCTTACACGCCAACAGGATTCGGAGACTGTTTCCCGTCGAGCTACAAGTATAGCTCGGTTTCTCTCGGCACGCGTGACGTCTTCAAATGTCACGGTTTACCGATCGACCAGGTTCCACCAATAGGCTGAGATTTCAGTAGTGAGGCGAGCGGAAAGGAAGATGGTGGTACATCGTGACGAAGGATATGGAAAATATAGCCAAGGATAGCAGTGATGATGCAGGAGGAAAATATGGCGTTGAGGGGAACAACAAGATGACCTTCCTCACAACAAACGCCGCAGGGGCGCATCTAGAGATGAAAGCCCGAAAAATAGTGGGAAAGTATTAGTGAAGAGTGATGTAGTCGTGGTAAATAAAAATCATTTTAAGGAAGGATGAAAACACTCCGAAATGAACGCGTGTTCAAAGTATTAACCTTGGCAGTCACGTAGTTCTCCTCGCTCTGTTGCTACCATTTCTGTCTTTACCAAGAGAATAGCTCAGCCTCCTCCATGACAACCTCTCACGGCCTTGAGAAACAAATATTTTCTGTTTTTGGTCACACTGAGACTGACGTCTTTTGGTTGGCCAGTCGTTTTTCTTGCTTCTGAAGGCTTGGTCTTCTCTCTACCTTTTTATCGAAGGAACAGGGGAATTCGTTATCTTCTTCACCACATTTTCAGGTTTCATCTGCTTTTGTGTGCTCATGTAAGGAGCACTACACCCATCCATGTTTTACCTCCAAATGTACATCGGGTGCGTCCGTGAGCGTCTTTCTTTCGCTGTCGAGGAATGCTTTTGAGGTTGCCTGAATAGTGCTACGGCCTTCTTGCTTACAACACATAATAATTTGATAGCGAGGTTAACTTTTATCGGGCAGCACGGTCTACGGTTGAAAGGCAGCAGCAACGTTTCACTGGCGAGTGCTTGCCCTGAGGTGTGGGGGGGTGTACTCATAGTCGTGCATGCCGCAGTCGTTAGACCATTGACCTCGCATCCCTACAAAGCCGGGACGGAGCACGCCGGGTTCTTATCGGACCAGGCTCTCACATCCCCAAGCGCGAAGCGCCGTGAGATATTCGGCGAGNGTTTTACAACGTCGTTGCCAAGCGACGAAACCCAATCCCGATGGCAAACGCCGGGGGGGGCGGCTTGTTTTACAACGTCGTTGCCAAGCGACGAAAACCCAACCCCGATGGTAAACACGGGGGGGGGGGGATTGCCCTGAAGTGGGAAGGGAAAAATTACTGTGCAACAAATCTATCTGGTCAATCAAGATAAATTCAATGTGACCAATGCCATGTTTTTGACAGTCCAAGAGCCTCAATGAACTTAATGAAGCCTGCCCACGTCACCCACCTCACGATTGATCCAAATACCGTTCGTTTGGTACTCTATCAGTCCCGCAAAGCACAAGCGCTGCACTCTGAAGCCGAACAGTCCTGAATAGTGCCAAGCCGGCACTATAGAGGGATTTTCAGACCCTGAATAGTGCCGGTTTGGCACTATTCAGGGTCAATTCTGAAAAGTGCCGGTGCCCCGAATAGTGCCGGCCGAACCGCCTGGACACGACACGGCACTATATCGGGACGCCTTCTGTAGTCTCTAAAGTGCATACTCCGTACAGTCCAGGAGAGGCTACCCGTTCGAGATAATACCACAGCAGTCAAAAGGTATGGGTTGAAGTCTAACAACAATGGTGAATGTCTTTGTACTATATATATTCAGTTCATATTCGGTTCTTCTACAGATGTGACACATAGCTTGTCCGATACTTGGGTGACCAGATCTTGGCAACCCAAACCCCTTCCCGTAGGGTATCAACATCGGCAACGACAACAAGGACAAAAAGGACAGCAAGCAGTAGCAAGTCAGTCATCCTTGCTTACGGGCGATTTTAAACACAGCTGTTTCGCTCCCAAATTTCTATTTCCGACTTTGCAGATTTCCAACTTGTTCCCATTTTTTTTATGCCAGCAGTTTTCGAGCTATCCAAAAATGATCCTCCATTGGCCGCAAATCAAGGTTCTATGGTCATCGGATTTAGAAATTTGGAAGCGAAATAGCTGGCTGCTGTTTAACCCTTACGTGACTGAGTTAATCTGCCATTTTTTTGCGTCCTCCTCGAGACCGAATCTTGCATGTGTGCACACAATCGCGAAGGCACATACGCAGGAATCACGTCGGCAAGGATGGATGATACAAACGGCAAGCAGGAGACGTCCATGTGTGTGTCGGCAATCTTAATTGCTGTACACAACGTAGTAGTCGGAACTCGGAACTGATGCAGCCACATGCCAGGGGGGGAGCGTACTCTTATGTTTTGCACGCCTCGGTGGTTAGACCATTGACCACGAGTCCTCGAGAGCCACATGCCAGGGAAGGGCAAAAACGGCCTTGCGTAACTCACCGGATCCATCCGTGTCGAAGAGATCGAACGCTTCCCTGATCTCCTGCTTCTGTTCCTCCGTAAGCTCGAACTTCTTCGACTTGGCGCCTCCGCGCTTGGATGTAGCCGCCTGATGCAAGAAATGGAACACCGGCAGATACGGCAGTTACATGCAAACAAGGTTGACTATCGGCAGCAGCCTTCGCCAGGATATGGAGCCTGGTTAAGTGGGGGGTACGGGGCAGGGTCATGGGTTGCAAACCCCCCCTCTATTCCCAGTTTCAACCAAAACTGGGCCCTGTGTGGGCGAACCACGTGCACGTTAATTATTTGGCTCCGACCTTGTCACGCCTCCTCGTCCAGGCTCAACTCCCTTCGTTTCCTTTCGAAATCAAGTCAAAGGCGACAAACATGCTACCATGACAGGACACGGTTAAAAAACTCCGATACAAACGACCTCCATGCTCAAAGACGCCAGTACCGTTGGCCGCTTAACAAACGTACATCGCTGCCGGGTCATACAGAGCACCAGCAAACGAAGTGCGCTGAAAGACGCCTTCTCACGCCAAGAATTTGGCTGTTTTCTGCGTTACTTAACGCCGATGAGGAGGTCCGCATACCTTTAGTCTGCATACATACCTTGATCATCATGCATCAGTCATCAAACAGGACGAGCGGCACACACGTTCGTACGTGCATACACGAAACGCAACATTTCGTGGGCAGTGGAAACAAAAACGTATCAACGGTCTTCTTACGTAGTATATTTTGTAGATATTACAATAGAAAAGAGCACCACCACTCACGGCAACGCGACATGTGTCCACATGCAACATACAGCAGTAAGAAAGCGCACTGTGGGCAGCGCAAGCGTCGTGCGATGAATCCTAGACGACCCACCAGACGGCGACATCGTCAAGCAACACCGGATAACATCAAGAGTACTCGTGAAAAGAGTACTCGGGGAAAAAAACAGGGCTCGGGAAAGACAGAGGTGCGGTACTTGTAGCCATGGTGTGGAGCGTGTTTCGACTTACGCAACAACTTCGAATCGCGCGACAACTGATTGTCACAAGCAAGGGCGACGGTGACATGTGTCCAGATGAATACGTGCAGTAGATGGTCAACGCACTGGTGTGTAGCACAACTTGAGTCGATAGCGTATACGATGACCCACCAGACGACGACATCGTCGTGTCATACCGGTGCGGTAGCCATGGTGCGGAGCATATTTCGCTTCGCGCAACAACTGATTGTGACAGACTATGCATTATTGTGCGTACCGTATATGACACAAGATAAGACACCCCCTGGACCAATTTTCAAAGCTCGATTACTCCACGACGAAGAGGATGCAAAATCGAAACGATATATTTTGGAAAGCTCTCGGCCAGACGGTTCCAACGCCGCCGTTTTCGGCGCCGTGACTCTTTCTGTTGTTGAGAAATCGAGATTTGAAAATCGGTCCAGGGGCGTGTTATCTTGTGTCATTTACGGTATTACAAGGACGACAGCGATGATCAACCTAGCCGGCGTCGGCAGTTGTTTTTCAGCAGTGGTGGTATGCAGTAGCATACCTAGTAACCAAGATGGAAATGTAATACTGTCTACTGTACCACGTAGACAGCAAATAACAGTCATCAGCAATTTTAAATTTGTAAAGCGTTATGTACGAGGCGATTAGAGAGTGGACCTCGGCGGTGAGGTACTGGGCCCGAAAGGTCGAGCAGCAAGAGCATGCCGGTGTCTTTCCTGTGCTTCTGTCTGCCGAACGTAGGAGTGCATCACTACAGGCGTCTGTCGATTCTCGTGCGACTGAAAGAGCAAACCGGCAATTTCAGGCGAGTTTTGTGAAGTCTTTGTCTACAACAACAACAACAAATCGGCCCTACGCTGCTACTATTGTAGTATAACTACAGTAATATTACTGTTTTCTGTACTACAACCAAACTGGGACCGCCCCGCAGAACTCCTCTGCGGGCAGTGCTATTCTTGTTTGATAAATAAAAATTATCTGGTAAGGGGTACGGGGTAGGGTTCGGGGTTAGGGTTACGAAACCTCCCTCTCTATTTCAACATGAAGAACAACATCTTAACGTCCGGGGTCCGGGGTTGGGTTCGGGGTTAGAGTTGCGAAATCCCCCTCTCTAATTGATTGATAAGTTGTAAGATCCTCGCCAAGGATGTGCGATATGGGTTGAGTATAAGTCGGCGGCACCCTAAGATGGGAGGCTCCGCTTCTCGGTACATGAGCCCCCCCCCCCCCCGATCCACGGAGGGCAAGGCAGCAAGGCATCTGCCCCACAACTACCAAGCCCTGCTCTTGAAGAAAAAGAAAGCTCTCTAGGGCCTTTCTTGTGCCTGGCGCTAACTAGGACACACTCTGGCTCTACGGCACCCTTTTGAGGCGGGTAGTTCGGCGAGAGGCGGATAGATTGTACCCCCCCTAAGACAGATTCTCAAAGCTCGATCGCTCCACCAAGAATGAGTGTGTGAGGAGAGAGCCCGACACGTCTAGTCTACGAAAAGCCCTCGACGAGATGTTTCCAAAACCGCCATTTTTTGGAGTTGGCACAAAAAAGCTTGGTTGTGGAGCAATCGACCTCTGAAAATCGGTCTAGGGAGGGGTGCCATCTCTCCGCCTCTTACGGAATACCACGGTACGGTATACGGTACGGTACAGACAAGCTTGGTTTTGGAGCAATCGAGCTTTGAAAATCGGTCTACAGTACGTAAGGGGGGGTGCCATCTCTCGCATCCTTCTCTCGCATCCTTCTCTCGCATCCTTCTCGAATATGCCAAGGAATCTCAAGAAGATCGTCGCATTTGCGGCTGGCGTGGTGCATTAATAAGCAACACAACGCGACCGAGGTGCGACGAGCACATAGTTCCCCTGCTCTTGTGAAGGCCAAGTTCTACGTACAGCAGCCTATCTACATAGCACATCAGTGTTGGGTACGTACTGCTGTTGCAGTTGAAGCGAGCGGCGTTGTATCGACTGCACTGCACGTTCCAACAAAAGCAGATACATCGGGTGTAGACTACTGCTGTAGACTATGCAGATTCGTATCTATGCAACACACGTCATGTGATACTCCGTACAATGGGGTATTCTTAAGCGGGACCACGAGAGAGGGCGTAGTTGAGGCCAAATACGCCTAAGGGAGTCAAGTGGGGTGATCGCTGGGTGCCGATACGCCGAGGTACATCTACAGCAGTAGCCTAGATATCTGTCACAGAGAAAGCTCCTGGGGTAAACAAACACCGTCGCATACGGTAAAAAAGCATCCAGATCGGCAGCGTTTCGTGCAAGACCCACACTCGCTACTCTCTAGCTTACTCCTGAAGACTAATCACGAGGCATCGTTGCCACAGATTCTCAATGCTTCAAAACGCTGTCACACAGAGGGGTGATGGTGCAAGAACGCAACCCGCGCAAGGATCGGTGAAAGACCGAGCATGACAGGAGGCAGCACGGAGCGAGAGATCGCGCAAGAAGTCCTCTTGGTTGCACACACGTTTTTTCTTCCTCTCACCATGGCAGGGCCGCGCGACGTGTGTAACGAAACAAAGACGGAGCGGCGCTCAGGAACACCCTTTACACTGTGCGGTCGTTTATCACGCGCTGTGGCACTGCCGTCCTCGCCTGCTGCTGTTCTGCCAGCAGTGCCAGCTGGTTGGTTGCAGGTAGGAGAGACTCCGCAATATCATTGTTGGTGGAAATATAGGGGGTGCACTGTCGGACTACGTGATGTACTCTGCGCACCCCCCCCCGAGCACACAACTCTCGTCCGCTTGTGCTGCAGGAGATATCGAAAAGGGTAGGAGCTTCTGACAGGTGAGGCTAACAGCACCAGTGTCTTCGTGTCCTGTATACCATGCTCGCGGTGTGTGGTCGTGGTTGGCGGAGCTTGAGATTGGATTCGAAACAACGGTGCGCAGAAAACATGGCGCGAAAAAATGTCCAAGTTTTTGTTGTGAGCGGGGGGCTGCGTTGTGGGATCGCACAAAAAGGTTATTGGCGTTAGTGTGTCATTGGCCTTCGGCAACCTCCCCCCCCTGGTTACTCTGGCGGCCTACACCGAGGCTAGTGCTTCGTCGCGGGATCCTTGGGTATCGGGCGTGGACCCTCTCGCCTTCAATTCTGTGCCGTTACCACTGTACCTGTGGTGGCTACGTGGCGAGCCCTTCCGGCCGACCCTCTTTGGGTAACTCGGCTGCTGCGTTGTTGCTCTTGTCATTGTGTGCGATTTGTTCTTGATCGACAGAGAGCGGTTACAGCAGTAGTCTTGTTGTCGTGGCCCTGGCTTTTAGCTCGGTGCCCAAGCCCGTGTTCCTCTCACAAAAATTGTGGGGACGGATCCACCTGTCCCTCTGAAACACGAGATCTTCACTCCCCCTCTTTGTCCCACTTGCAACACACGCGATGTTACTGCGGTAGCAAGCGACTTAACTCCGTAGTTGCGGTTTTCAAACGCCGACAATGGCGGCCGTTCGAAAAGACATGATTGTGTGAGATACCCACTGGAGCAGCCCTCCCGGGATCCCCGCTTTTGAAAATCGCCTGCGTCATTCCCTTTGGCGGATGCAGCCAAGGGCGATTACAGCAGCAGTTACAGCAGTAGATAGTTTTAGCACAAGGGATGGGTCGAACCTGCGGCCAACAGTGAAGACCATGCACTGCTAGTGCTCTTGGATGGCACTGGGACTACATAAATCTGTCCGCAGTTTTATAAAATCGATACTCGAGCTGCCGTCCCGGATACGGCGGTGCATATACACAACAGTGTTACCGTTTCAGCAGTGCGTGGTATGTGCTTTCCCTGGAAGACGTTGGTGTTTCGCCTGCTACCGTAAAAACGCCTACAACCAAGCCCGCTACGACTGCTAATAGCTGTAACAGCACGGAAGACATTGATAATGCTTCTGTCTGCTGCCATAAGTGCGCCGCCTGCAACCAAACCGCTACTGCTGTGGTTGGAACCTGTAGCAGCATTAGTACGGAAGAAATTGATGCTTCAGATACAATTGCGCCTACACCCAAACAGCTGCTTACTGCTGCTGGCAGCTGCCGTAAATGCGCCTACAACGAAGCCGCAACTACTGCTGCTGTCGGCGGCGGCGTACAGCGGTTAGGGCCTGTCGGCCGTAAAGAGTAGTCAATTTTGGTTTGGACGGGCAGTTGCTTATGTCGTCGCTACCTCCAGGCGTGGGCTACTCCTACACAGGGCACAGATGATCGTGTTGGCTTGTTTCCACGGCTGAGGTTTTGCCGCGTTGCTTGATCGACGTTTCGTTCAAGAATCCGCCCCTGTTTATCTCGACAGAGAATCTCTCAACTAAAAGGGGTTGTTGCCCCCGTGTGTGTACTGTGGTTGCCTGTGATCGCTTTTCCTCCTCTCTCTTCCCCTGACATCAGAGAGTTGACGTTGACAACAAAGAAGCTAAATTAAACTGCACGGTTGGAGCCAGGCTGTTTCACCCCAACACATGGCGGAGGAATTCGCCGGCCAAACGCCTCCTGCGGCTGGAGACCCGATGGGCAATGGGGCGCTGTCTCCTGGTGGAGCCGCGGCAGCGGCGGGGGATGACGACCCTATGGAAGTAGGCAGCGCCAAGTCGGGAGACGAGGGTGGCCTGTCGTCAAACTCGCCTGATGGAGGTGCTGAGGACGCAAACGAGTTTGTAGAGAACGGGGATGCTGATGATGCCATGATGTCTGAGGCGGGGGGGGGGGG